ACATACAGAAAGGGTAACTGCAAAGACTCCCTTTTGTGCTTCGCACACGGGAGTCAATAATATTAAAGCAATCGGACTTTGGAGCAATTGGTTTTTAACAAGAAGTTGAAAATGACAAAAAATTCATTAAAATTAGAGATTTGAAGATATATATCATCACGAAATGAACAAATCCAATGGATGTCTGCCTAAGGTACATATACACCAAGTATCAAAGCAATAAGAATTGTAGTTTTCAAGAAGAAATCGAAAAAGTAACAAGTTGACAAAGACGACAACAAATTACACAGGGCGACAGCAGACACCAACAGACAATCACGCATATGAGAAGCTCTGCTCAACACCAGAGCTTATAAGTGATAGTAATTAACTAATGACAACACCTAACTACATCCGAATAGTGCAAGACTATGGCAAGGAAACTGCCCATAGTAGTTGTGCTGAAGTGACCTTGACATCTTAGCGTGTGTGTGATGTACAATAGTATTTGTCTGTTAGCATCCACAAGCATCTTTGAAGGTGAATAAATAGTCCTGACAATCTATGTATTTAAAGAAAACATTTCAGTCACATATGAACTCATCTGCACCATTCAAAACTGAATATAACACTTTAACAGGTCATATCAGGTTGCATATTGAAAGCAGTTCTTCATCATATCCACCTGTAGTTGACAAACGCATGCCAATCACAAGAAATATAAACTATCCAGCTAGTGTTAAAGCTGTGATTAAACTCACGTTTCATTTCAAATCTTGGAAATGCTTGTTGCTGAACAGATGTTCACTATGTATTACTCATTCTCCTCGAAGTATCAGCTGCATTTGACACTACTGCCTATCACTTGTTACTCAGTAGAATGATGCAGCTCACAAATGTTTTATAAAACGTTGTCCAGAAGACATCAACTTATTTTAATTGAAAACACTAGTTGACTCATTCTGTTTACTATGTATAACTTAGTTGCATCAGAATACAAATGACAATCAGCTTTACCTTACCATTCTCTCATGAGGAACCATGACCTCATAGATTTTCTTCCACGTTACGTAACATGTGACCGAGGCAAAGAGGTCAGCGCCATCTTGCCTTATTTTCACTCCCCTGTAAAGCCAATGGCTATGGGAAGAGGGGTGGTTGGGAGGTACCCAGAGTCTATGGTAGGTCTGAACTATGTGAATAGGCAGGTTGAAAACCCTCTACCGAAACTCATTACGCTCAATTACCCTCCATAGATTCAGACGCCGAGAGCTGGTGGGTTTCTGAGCAAAACACAAAATAAATACTCGAAAGGATAAAATACTTATGACTACCACCCAGCTATGGCCTGTGAAAAAAAGAGGTCTTACCTTACCAGTGTCGTCCCCATAGTAAAAGCATAGCATTCTGGGGGACCCATAGCATTCCAAAAAGAAGAGTCTGAAACTGTTCTGCATGAGGGCATAGGTCGAAAGCAAAACCTGGGATGTCCAAGGAGTGCTGACGAGAGAAACTTTACCACACAAATCTATAGCCGAGACTGCTCTATTGCCTATGCACAGGGGTCCTTGTGGTTGTTCGGACTGTGTCAACATGACGACAGGACCTACACTAAAAAGACCTTCCTCAATGGATTGTGCGTTTCTTAGGTAATGAAGTGACCTTGGCATCTTTGCGTGTGTGTGACTTTGAGTCATAGGCTGCATTGGTGAAACCCATATTCACCCCTGCCAGGACGTTGGCAGTCCTCTCAGATAAACATTCCTTCCTTCTACTGAGAGCCTCTATGCATGTAAGTGGTACACTGCTGGGCTCATTGGCAGTTTGCTGTCCGGTTGGAACAGCAGATCCAGAATGTCCGGAAGCACTACCGGTGTTTCAACTAATATTTCCAACAATAGTGGAAACCAGGCCTTGGTTGGCCAATTAGGTGCCACCAGCATCAAGATACAGGCGTACACCTGTTGAAGTTTCTCCAGTACCCAGAGAATCAGATGGAAAGGAGGAAAGGCGTATGCATTCATGTGGGTCCACGAGATCGATAATGTGTCCATGGCCCATGATTCAAGAGACAGCAGGAGTGTCACACATGTCGGGAACTTGGCATTCCAGGGTGTGGCGAACTGGTCTATCTTGGGACCAGTACACAGCCAAAACAGTCTGGGGGCTACCCATTGGGATAAGGTGTCCCCCATGACTGTTCCGCCACCCTGGAAGGTGGTGTGCAGTTAGCTCTACATTGCATTGCAGGCATCAATGAAAATTTTGCTCAGCCAGAGCTGACAGCGATGTGGATCTGTTCCCCCCTCCTTTTGACCACCGCTGTGTTGTCCATGCAGAGCAAGACTCTGTGGTCCAAGTATATCAGTGCTAAGTATACTGTTTTCAGTTTGAGCCAATTAATATGGCAACCCTGAATCCAATGCAGGGGCCATATTCCTTGGACTTGTTCGTCTATTAGGTGCACTCCCCAACTTGTGAGAGAGACATCCTGTTGTCAGTCATTGCCGTGGCGGGTGGGTCCAAGAGGATCCCCTGCCTGAGGGTTGGCAATTGCTATCAACCAGGGCAAGGCATTCCTCACTTATTCCGAGAGAGTAACTTTCCTCTCCAGTTCCTGCAGCCGAGATCAGTGCTGCAACAAAGTGTGTTGCACTGGGCGACTGCACAGTGCAGCTTGGGGAACTACACTGCGAACTGACATCATCCCAATGATGCGCATCAGTTCTCGGAAAGACAGAGGGAATGATGACCAGATGTTCAGTTAGACTGCTTATTGATAGGCAACGAGCTTGCCTCTGTGCCTAACTCCATGCCCAGAAACACCAACTGACGTGTCCGTGTGGATGGGACTTCTTTAGATTTACTAGAAGGAATAATTGCAGTATATCCTGTGTTAGCCTTACCTGCTCGGCCAACAACCCCTAGTTTTGGTTGTGTAGCAACCAGTCGTCTAGGTATGGGTTGATGTGTACCAACCAGAATACACCAGCGCAATCTGTGTGCAACAGGGATATGTGGCCACGGGTTCTGTGGTTCAACATTGGGAAGAGGGGGGACTCCTCCGCCAAGACGAGTCCCCTCATGGTTCATAAGGGTCGAAAAGTTCAGACCCTGTCCCCAGCTGAACACTTGCCCATTCCTTTATCGCAGACTGAAGCGCCAAACTCGTTTCCCTGCGACTTTGGGGTGACCACTCGTGGAAGGGGACGATGCACCACCTGGTCCTTTCTTCGGGGGGGGGGGCACTCTTCTCTCCCCCGTTTCCTGGCTGCTTCTGAGCAGTGGGTGCTGACTTCGGTTGTTTTCTCTGCTTGTGATCCTATCCGCTTGCCTTTGGCAGCAGCCAACTGGCTCACTGATTCCACCTGTACCATCTGGTCAGTGGCTTCTCGAAGTTCTGAGACTGCATCCTTCATCTCCCCATCAAAGCAGGTCGGTTCAGGTCGTTGATTAATATCATTGACCTCCC